ATCACTATTTTAAATTTTATTTAACCCTGTATTCTTCTCCTTTCTTCTTCTTTCTTAATTTTAGAGTTGGAAGGGATCCCCTTCAACACAATTAAGTATACGTGTCAACTGGTTAAGCGTTATTGAGGCCATTGACTCTGATTTCAGCCTGCTTTTCTTTCTGGATTTGCTTCCATAGTATTTGTTATTTGTCCAACCAAGAACAAACTACAAGGCAGCAGTTGTTTGATTTTGGAGTTGTCTCTCCTGGATGAGTTGCTGTCCCCGGCTAACCAGCTTCATCTGCCCGAGTAACCCTGTATGTTAATTGTTTATGTACCCCTATATATCATGTACCCTCCTTCCTATAGGTTGGGAACCACTGTGCTAAAGCAAAATCAAAGTAAATACCTCTTCATAAAATAAAAACAGTTGAGTATGGCCAATATATTTAGCTATTTTTTAATGGACGTGAATATGTCAATATATTTCAAGCACTTAAATTTCTTCATTTAAAGCGTTTACCTTTCGTAAGCTTTTCGTAACTCTTTTATTACCAACATTTTTCAGCCCAAAATATTAAAATCAATAAAGCATACTTTAATATGACCTTTAAAACAAAAAAGATGTAGAAAAAGTAAATAGGCTACTTTAGTATTTCGTAGCGCTGGTGCCTTCAAAAGGAAGAGCACAATAGTTTGTTTTTCCGTAGAAAGAATTTAAAATCACAGCAGCTTTAAATTAATCAATATGTTCTTCAGTTAAGAAAATTAAACATTTTTAAAAATTGGAATCCTCTCGAAATAATTATTAGTGCTCAAAGAAAGTGTTACTTTTACTCAGTAGTTATAGAGGTTCGTGTTGCTTATTTTGCTTTTCGACGATAAATTCCTAATCAATAAAAAAAAATGTGTATCGATTTTATGTAAATTTATAGGATCGGCTTTTGACAACGCATACATCATACAAGTATAATTGCCTGCAGAACTTTGTCGTAGGGGAGGGTCACTCGGTAAGCAGTGTTTCTTTCAGACTTTTTTCTCGCGGGGGGGGGGGGGGGACATGATATTTTCAGGGAGCGGACAAAACTTTCCGGGGGGGGGGCGGCTGACACTGGTAAAAGTATATATTTTCTATATAAAATTCATTTCGTTCTGGCCTGAAGAGTTACCTGGAAGAAATTCTGTCGGTAAGTCAGGGCAAAATGCAGAAGTTATAGGTTATTATAGGTTTTTGATAAAAATCAGATTGCATGCTACTGCTACACTGCTTCAATATTTCAGTAATTTATTGCTTAAATCATTAAAGCAATATAGAGCTATTATATCAATAATTAAACGGGTAAACAAATATTTTACATCAGTCGACATATTAATATTTATATTAAAATTATACTCTCCCCACCCCGACCTTTATACGGAAGCTCAACGAAATGATATGAAACCTGTTCAAGATTCACACAAAGTAGATTTGATCAAACAACGATCTTAGCCTGTACACCGATAACAGTTAAACTTAGAGATGGGTGCTGACCATATGTTGGGTTTGTCCTCTGTATAGCAGTGTATATCCCACAGGTAGAACAGGTAATGCTGACCAGATGGACCCTATATTTGGCTTGTCCTCTATATAACAGTGTATATCCCACAGGTAGAACAGGTAATGCTGACCAGATGGACCCTATATTTGGCTTGTCCTCTATATAACAGTGTATATCCCACAGATAGGTGATGCTGACCAGATGGACCCTATATTTGGCTTGCCCTCTATATAACAGTGTATATACCACAGATAGGTGATGCTGACCAGATGGACCCTATATTTGGCTTGTCCCCTATATAACAGTGTATATACCACAGATAGCACAGGTGATGCTGACCACATGGACACTATATTTGGCTTGTCCTCTATATAACAGTGTATATACCACAGATAGCACAGGTGATGCTGACCACATGGACCCTATATTTGGCTTGTCCTCTATATAACAGTGTATATCCTACAGGTAAGACAGGTGATGCTGACCACATGGACCCTATATTTGGCTTGCCCTCTATATAACAGTGTATATCCCACAGGTAGAACAGGTGATGCTGACCACATGGACCCTATATTTGGCTTGCCCTCTATATAACAGTGTATATACCACAGATAGCACAGGTGATGCTGACCACATGGACCCTATATTTGGCTTGTCCCCTATATAACAGTGTATATACCACAGATAGCACAGGTGATGCTGACCACATGGACACTATATTTGGCTTGTCCTCTATATAACAGTGTATATACCACAGATAGCACAGGTGATGCTGACCACATGGACCCTATATTTGGCTTGTCCTCTATATAACAGTGTATATCCTACAGGTAAGACAGGTGATGCTGACCACATGGACCCTATATTTGGCTTGTCCTCTATATAACAGTGTATATCCCACAGGTAAAACAGGTGATGCTGACCACATGGACCCTATATTTGGCTTGCCCTGCATCATGGACTCCAAGGCCATGGACGCCGCACGTGCACGCAACCAGTCCCAGGAGAAAAAACTCGCGGATAAGTTTGGAGCTCTTGCTGTGGACATGGAGACGAGGTCCGTACCATTCTAGTGATAGATAATGTTATCACATCCTTAGTTAGAACACACTAACTATATTATAGGAATATTGCCATCGCATCCTTAACTATAACAAAACATCAAAAGACTTGTTTAGCAAAGTGCGCTGTAAAGGGTTAGAGTTTCTTTACTAAATTAGACCTATCTAAGGCCCGTTCTCTTTGTATACACTAAGCCCATCTATTTTCTAATAAACCGATGATAGAGGTCGTGTATATATCTAAAAAAAAACCCGGTCCGGTTGATATTCTCTGGTTAATTGTCTAGTCGAAGTTAGTGCATAGATTTAAATAGCAGCACACACAAAACTAAGGATGTCGTATTGACGTTTTGATGGGATCGATATTATGGCCAAGATGTGTTTATTCAGTGATAAGAGACTATTAGCCAGCAACAAAGGGATAACGTCGAGTTATAGAAGATTCGATTGCTAACCCAATAGTCTGAAGATCTAACCGCGTTCAAGACAAGTAAGACGTTAATGATACCCACCACATGTGAAAGTAATGTTCCCTTTTCAAACCTGACGGTCCACGGGGCAAATGAAGTAGAATTTACCTTTCATATAACGAAGTTATAGAAACAGGTGAACTCTAGTTTACTTGCCCCAATGACCGTCAGGTTCGAACAGGTAACTTCACCTTTGAAATATGGCCTACCTAATTCGAGTCAAATAAAGACGGCTGGACGTAGTGCTGACACAATTTTAATTATATGCCGAGGTCAACGAAACATATAAGCTCTACTTCATCTGCATTATGGAACCTCGTCTGGGTGCTAATTTTAGCAAATTAAAAAAAAAAACGTTGAAATTCTACATTTTAAAAATATAACTTTTTTTTCTAACAGATCATCCAAGATCCTAATTAAAAAAGGCGACGTAAAAGACTTCAAAACGAAGATCGACTTCTCCTCCCCAAGACTACGATCGTTGCCACTAGGACTTACTCGGGAGGAAAAACTCCAGTACCAGCAGATTCTCCGCAAGGAAGGAAACGTCAGCATCTCCTTAACCGAGTTTGACCGCAGGCTCGCTGACCGGAAGCTGCGCTTGAACAAAGCCCACGCGTCTGGAGGAGCAGACGCCAAAGTTACGCCAGTTGCCGAAGGTCACGAACACCGAGCAGAGACGTCATCAGTACCTGGACATCTGATTGACCTGGATGATCGGGAGTTTTGTCTGCCGATCAACCGTAAAAAGCACGCCATGCGAGAGGCCTGGCGCAGGGCCAACTCGGACGATATCAAGTATAAGAGCGTGTACAAAAGTAGATCAACGTCGTCGCTTTCACCGTCGCGCAGTCCAGCCAAGCATAGAACCAGTGGCAGTGACCACGATTTAACTACTGCAAGACACAAGCACTCTACTTATGTTAAAAGCCAAACTTCATCAAAGACCATGGTCACTAAACTAAATCCTTAGCCATAAAGTATGGCTTAAAAACAAATATAATAATTCAATGGGACGAATGGGAATAGTGCTGACACTATCCCTTCATATGCCGAGGTCACAGAAACAAGTGAACTTTACTTCACTTGCCCCATGGACCGTCATGATTGAAAAGAGAACTTTACTTACTTTTATTTTCATGACATTTTGAGCCCATTTTCTTACATTTACATTGCACTTATAAATTGTTGAAAATGATGTAAATAGTGTAAATAAAAACAACAAAGTAGAATAGCAATGCATAATTAGTACACGCATGTAAAGACAGTCGGTAGTCGGTTCGACAAATGAGTTCTTTTTAATTAAGATAGCTGGCTTAAATTGTGTAATAGCTTTACTAGAAAGTTTACACTGCTTCTAAACAAAGTAGGATCGTAAAGTCAAACGGACAAATTGTCTTGTGTGAACAACAAAGTGATAAACGTATTAGTTTCAATCTCTCTACTCCAAAAGCGATGAACGTGACCGCGCAACCGATAGATTAAATGTGCAACGCTGAGGGCAGTGATTCTTAACCTTTTTGAAAGTACTGAACCCCAGCAGTTCCATATGCGCTTTCACCGAACCCTTCTTAACAGTTTTATCGTCAGCACTGATAATGTCGGATCGTGAATTATGAGTCGGGAAAGTTTCAACTAACTCTCCGTGAAGCAAAATGAAAGAAACACTACTGAACAAGCCAGATCACTATACAAACCAAAGCAACTGAAGATGATTTCACGACATTGCTCGAACTTTGATCCCGGTTTAAACAAAAATTATTGTTCAAACTATGTAACACACATAGTGCTCATTACAAACGTGAATTGCTTGTATATTTCTGTAATTCATACCTCATGTCCATGTTGCACATACAGGTCTGTCTTCAAACATTATAATATGCAATACAACCCACACATAAAATTCACATGTTTATTTACTTATAATGTTGACAATTATGTAATGTAAAGGATGAAATAAACAATTGATTACAACAAAGAGCCCATGTATACACCAGTTTCTGTGGACAACTAAGGTATTTTAATATCCTGGCATAAGTTATTTAAAGAGCACTTTGACTGCTCCAGTTCGCTGTCCAGTGACTTAATTTTTTCAAGGACGGCCAGTAGTTTGTTGACCTCAGCATCTAAAGCTTTACCTTTGACCTCGTGCATATGGTATGTATATCTCTCTATCATCTCACACGCTTTCTCTGCCTGTAAACAGAGAGTGGGGTGGAGCTTATAGGTCGAAGGCTCAAATGAAAATATGTTTTTAAGTAATTTAGTGCAGGAATTTAAAAAAATTGTGTTTCACAAATGCCTGTACAGTGTAGTTAATATAAATTTAATTTCTCATGCATATATTAGCTGCTTCAACGTTTAAATAGTTTATTTATCCTAAGATACTAATGGTGTTAGACAGTATTAAAAGTGAATAATGGTAACATTTTAAAAATTTAAGTACTTAAGTAAATATAGGGCTTACATCAAGTAAACTTCATGTAAGTAATAAGCATCATGACATATAAGGAATTATGCCTATCATAGCCATAATTTGAAATGAGAAAAAGGCTACTTATAACTTCTGTGGTTATACAAGAACGCATTTTTCATTTACCAAATAATAAAGGCACTTAAAAATCTAACCCTAACTGTAGCCTTTACTCTACAGACACAATCCTAATAACAGGAGCTAAAATATTGCTGTCGGACGTACTAGTTAACAAATATAGAGTGTGCCTAAGAGTTGAGCAAAATTGTCTAACCTGAGACATGATTTCTTTCTTAACGTCGGCCAAAATTTGAAGATCTTGGCTTCTTTTTTCTTTGATGTTGGCCAGTATTTCAGCCAGCATTTCTTCAATCTGCTCTTTAGTCAGCTGTTGATGTGTGCGGCTGTCATTAGATTCTAGCTGGCTCGTTTCCTCGCTATCCATTACTTTATCCTGGGCAGGAGCATCACCACTATCTGTAGGGCACTTTTGTGGAAACCTAGAAAGAAAAATCCACAGATTTTCAATCAGATATAAACTTTCCAAGGTTTTAGACATAAAAAATATGTTTAGTACCGTATGGGTGGCGCCCCGGCGGTAGTGTGTGTCCCTAGGTCTCCCGCGGCTTTCTTCGAATCTGGTTTTCACCATGAGCACTATGGCACCCACATTCGTTTTAAAGAACGCCTACACTACAGACACGATGGTACCTGCTGCTTCTGAAGTAGTGTAACCTGTGGCTCCCAAGAGCTTCACCCGGAGGGTCACCGAAGTGACATTACAAGGGTAATCAACGTACAATCAAGGTTTTCATGAACCCCCCCCCCCCCACTCCCTGGCTTCTGGTAGGTAGTGTGGATAAACCCGCGCCCCAGCAACTAAAAAAAAATAATTTAAAAAATAAATAAATGTAATCACACATTGTTTACATTCAAATAACTCGAGTTGTGATAACTGAAAATTATAAGTTCGTTATTTAGGAATACTCAACAGCATAAACTGAAAACCCGTGCAGATAAATTAAAGCTAGATCTAGATCTAGATATCTAGATCAGTGTTTCTTCCAGACTAATTTCTCCGGGGGGGGGGGGGGGGCACTTGACATTTTCGGGGGGGGGGGGGGGGGGCGGGAGACTTTTTATGGGGGGAGGGGGGCGGACGCTGTTAATTACAAGTATATATTTTCTATATAAATTTCATTTCGTTCGGGGGGGGGGGGGGGGCGGTAGACTTTCTTCGGGGGGGGGGGGGGGGGGGCTATGAAGAAACTCTGATCTAGATCTACTACCTACTAAGTCTACTACTACTAGATCTAGATTCTAGATCCACTTGCATGTTTCGTAAAAAAACACACACTCTAACTAGAGTCTAAGTCTAAGTCAGACTAAGTCTATTTTGAGCAGCTGTCAATTCATGTAGCGTAGTAAATCGAGACCTAGATCTAGATCTAGTTACTCACAACATTTTGATATGTGGAGACTGCTCATTTTTATCTTCAAGGTATTGATCTTCCATTTCGTTTTGTCCTCTTTCTAACTAGATCTAGATCTAGAAAAAAAAATCTAGATCTAGAATCTAGACCTAGGCCTAAGTGGCTAAGAGATTGATGGAAATATTGTATGATTGAAAGGGAATGAACAAAATCTTCTGCTACACATTCAAAATATTAGAGTACATTCCCCTGCTTTAGATCTATATTTAGTATTTTTATTAACGGAAATAAAATCGATAATTTTTTCTTCTTTTCTTCTTTACCATATACTAGAATCTATAATCATTAATTTTATACTAAAATCAACACGTCTTATTGAAAAAATTAAATGTTGAATATTTTATCATAATTTAAAAGTTTTGTTTTCTAAAAAGTTTCTGAAAAGGAGGAGTAAAATTTATAAACCTACGCTCCCCGTCCTACCCCGTAACGCCGCATCAGCACCGATTCGCAGTTTTTCTTTATTCTTATTTTATTACTTCCTTACCAAGATGGCTGGAGTAGTTCTTGAGACACTTAGCAATAAAAAGCTAATAGTACTTAGCTTTTCGCTAGTTCTCATTCTCATTGTCTTCTTTTTAATTGGAGGCCTTATTGGTGAGATTTATTAATACTTTTATTTAACGATCTGTATTATATTTTTTCTGTTGTGTTGTCGATTGAGTGTTCGTCTGTTCGAGTTTTCTTTTTTCTTTTTCTTTTATTTTTTAAAGAATTTTATTATAGAAGTCTAGAGTTGTGAGAGTCAAGATCTAGATCTAGAATAGAGATCCTCTATCTAGTCTCTACTCAGTTAGTGAACTGTTAGTGGCTTAGTTGACTACACTACAGTAACAGTTTAAGTATTTACATTAATTAGTAAACTAATCATTCAATGACTCATTGACAATGAATTAGAGTTAGATCAAGTAGGCCACTGTGTGTGCTGAGTCTATCTCAGAGGGGGGGGGTACATATGTCGGATGATATTTCGAGTCGTCCCTTTGAATCCCGGCTAGAACGTCCCCGGGCGCAGACCTTAGGGGGCGCCCAAATGGGTTGGAAAAACAAATTAAAATGTCATTTTAGCTGCGTTTTTTGGATTTTAAATAGTTTGCGCAGTGGGGGGGGGGTGCAAGTCGAAAATTTGCTCCCAAGGGGAGCGCCAAATTGAAAGTTTGTCCCCGGGCACCGGGAATGGTCGCTAGCCTCTGGTCTATCTTATCTAAGAATCAATTTTTTTCTAAGACAACCTTTTTTTGTGTAGAGTATTGTCTGGCATCTATAATACCAATTCTCAATTAATTTAGGCCTAGTTGTTGGAAGTGGCTATTCTGACCTGGGTCCTAATTACTAATTAGACTTACTTAAAAATGTTTAAAAACCTAGCTCAAAGTGATAAGAAGATCTTAGTACAATCTAGGCCTATTAAATACTCACATTATGTTGTGATGTATGGTGATTTGGTTGTTGTCTAGCTATAGATTAAATCCACTAAAAATCAAAATATATATTTCACAGCTCCAGCTCCGAATAGTGTGATGGATACTCTGACAGTTAAATGCTATGATAAAGATAACCTGTGGCAAATTAATGAAATTAAGCCTTTCGTCCCAAGAGGTGAAAACAAATGTACTGATATTCAAAGTTTAAATGACCCAGTAAGTTTTTTTTTTCACTTGTTATTTAATTTAAAATTGTTTAGAGTTTTGCAATGTTTAATTTTTTATTTGAATCTGAAGCAATTTTGATATTTGTTCCTTAACAGAAAATAGAAAAATACCACATTGATGCCAATGAAATTGTGTTTTCACAAATGATTCCTTTGCCACGAGACAACAAACAACTTGATATGTCAAGATGGTTTCAGAGCCTCATAAGTGTTATCAATTTAAATGTTGAATACAAAAATGACAACCCTTATCGTAAGTTAAAAGCGCATTCTCTTAATCTTTAACTTGAAGTGTACTTTTTTCAGATTTACAGATTAGTAAAATCATTATACTTAGCTGAGGTAGTGATTTTATTTAAGTAAGTCCGCCTAATTCTTCTTAGATGGTTCATTATATTTCCTTAATTTAAACAGCTGAAAAGGAGAAACCAGAGATGTTAATTGAAGCCAGACTATTCTACAAAGACAAGGAAGACAAAGATTGGAAACTGCTTGCTCAGTCCACAGAAAAAAGAAACCTGGACTGCTCTATTGAGGATGACAAGGTATAGAGTCCTTGCAAACACGTGACCTAAATCACGTGATACCTACGCCCGCCGCCACAGTGGTGTACATCAGACGTAAACACAATCAGCTGTTCGCCAGCGCTGGACGTGTTCACCAGCGCTGGACGTGTTCACCGTATGTAAAGAATCGCGCCCGCGGAAAAGGAAAAATATGTTAAAAAACTTGAACTCTTAGGAATTGAAGATCCTTATACAGTTATTGACAGTTTCGTGGATAATATAAATATGTGGCCGAAATTTCTAAATAAAAATACTGTTAGTAATACCGTTTGCGTTTAGAGTTTAAGTAGACGAAGCTGATCAAATGCAGTAATATATTAGAGGTTATCTACTGTAGCAAACGTGAGACCACTTAACTCCTACAAAACCCACACTACAACGGCTAATATAATCCATGGGTAATAACCAATCTGGGTAGCATGTTATACAATTTAAGACCCTTATAATCCAGCAGGGAAGTAATCAGACACATTAATACTGACGTTCAACCCTCATGATGGCTGCCCCCACCTGTATCTAGCCCACAATAAAACCAAAGAGGAGTCTGCCCTGCCCTCCCCTGAAAATGTCTCACCTCCGTGATACCCAGCCCCACAGAGATAGTATTTCTTATATAATTTTGACCCTCAGGGCCCAGCAGGGAGAACAAAGGGGAAAGTCCCACTGCTCTCCCCTCAACACTTCTCACCTCGGTGTCATGTTATGTCATTTATAGCACACACGGCTTATCAGGGGAAAGCATTAAGAATCTTAACTCTGGACAGCTACACACTAGTATAGTAGCTACACACTAGGTGCCTACTGTAAACTACTAGACTGTAGGCCCTATGTAGACCTGCAATTGTATCAATTGTAGACTGGGTCCATTGTTATTATTCTAAACCATCTCACTTATAATGTTTCTAGCTTGATTTGTTTCTTTAATAAACAGTGGATTTAAAAAAAAAAAAATTAGTCTAATCATTAACCAAATAATAATAATGTGGTTATTTGTTGTTGGCTGGTATGATCTAGATTGTACTACTAGGCTACAAAAACTTAGTAGACCAATTACTAGATATGAATTTGAATTTAATTAAACTCAGTCCAGTATCAGATACATATTGCTGTAAAAAGACAACAAAGTAGGTAGGCCTTAGTAATTTATTAAAGCCTTCTACTACAATAATATCAACTACATGCTTGTATAAAGTTTTTACAATTTAATTTAAGTAGCAGATTCTAGATCTAAGTCTAGTCATATAATCTATTTCAATTTCAGAAAATTTCGTTTGCTAAAAAAATGATTAGATAATAGAGCGAGATTTTAGATCTTAGAGACAATTAAATGCTTTATTAGGCCTATTATGACTACTTTTGATTTATTATGGGTGTATTTTGAATCGAATGTAGATCTAAAGTAATTAAATTTAAGTAAAGAAGTAGATTCTAGATTCTATGTCTACCCAGCGGAGCCAGGTATTAGGCCTACTATTAGATCTTATTATTCTTATTAGCCTATTACTTTTGACTTTGTCTTTTACTATTAGTATTTGTGAAGGTCGAGCATATTTGTTTTATTAATAGTTATCTTTTATAATTAAAATGAAGTTTATTATTTTACTGTCCTTACATGAAACAAAGTATCGAGAACTGCATTTGATCAGATTCGGCTACTTTAACTCTAAACGCAAACAGTATTACTAACAGTATTTTTATTTAGAAATTTTGTCCACATATTTATTTATACGAAACTGTCAATAACAGTATAAGGATCTTCAATTCCTAAGAGTTCAAGTTTTTAACGTATTTTTCCTTTTCCGCGGGTGCGGTTCTTTACATACAGTGAACGCGTCCAGCGCTGGTGAACACGTCCAGCGCTGGCGAACAGCTGATTGTGTTTACGTCTTGTGTACACCACTGTGGCGGCGGGCGTAGGTATCACGAACGGACGTGACGTCATATGAAAGGACTCTATAGGCTTTACATGTAATGTATTGTTTGGACATCTGTATGTTAGCAATTAAGTACATTGTACTTCATAGTATTGTGTGCCTTACTCATAAGTAAAACTAGATTGGTGAAAACTCTAAACACTTGGAACACTCAGAAGTCACAAGCAACAATTTATAAATGTGTACCCGTTTTTAATCCTGTTTGAAAAATTATTTCCATATTTTTACCTAGTATTTTGTTTTAAGTGGTGCTTTATTTATTTTTTCTATAGCGTGTAGATGGCAACTCATACAACTGTGATTTGATTCCACTGTTTGAGTTAGGGAGTGTCCACTATGACTACTACCTTATCAACATACGTTTACCAGTCAACCTGAAGAACACCGTCAACCATTTTGGCCAGTTGGGAGACATGTACATTATTGTAAGTTATTGCTCATGGAGGAATGTCAGCATTGAAAATGGACATTAATGGGGATTTGAAAGCTTCGTTGTTGTAATTTACAGTGGGATTATTTTTCTTTAAAAAGGCAGTACATTTTTTCTTTAAGCTATGCAGGTTTGATAGTTTATTTAACTATTATTTGATAAAGTGAATTTTTAAAAGTTTTGATGTAATGAAAAACACATGTCCTTTACAATGCAGTGGAATTTTTTTAGTTCAGATGTTTACTGACCTGTATTATTTCTCTTTTTTTTTAAAGTTCATTTTCCAGAATGGTGGTTTCACAAAAGTGTGGTTTTCCATAAAAACCACCATTTTCCCAGTGGTAATAGCTGTGCTTGTGTGGTTCTGGAGGAGAGTCATGACCCAAGGACGCTCCACCAATCTGACAGAAAGGTAACTCGACTTTAAGTCACAGGTTATTATTCTTTAAGTATATTATTTCAAATTTGTGTTCATTGCATATTGAAAATAATTTTATTTTTTGTTTCAGAACTATATTTTCTCTTGGAATCATCCTCTCCATTATGAACTGTAAGTTAATAAATATTTTATAACCAGTGGCAAAAAATGTAACATGAATTTAAATCATGTAAGTGTGACAAATTACTTATTTGTAAGTTTTTAAATTAGAATTACACTTTAAATACTTGCAAATTCTTATAATGATGTTTGTATTTTGGTACTTTATAAACAGGTCCAATAGAATGGCTGACTCTGTTTGTCAACATGCCCTTTATGATGTTGCTCAATGATATCAGAGATGGAGCATTCTACGCAATGCTTCTTTCATTCTGGTTAATTTTTGTGGGTGAACATCTGATGGTATGAAGACTCAATTTTAATTGTATATAGTGTGTTAAATACTCAGTTTTTGTTGCACATATACTTTTTAAATTTGTATAAAGTCTCAATTTATTTTTTTAAATAAAGTGTTAATTATTTAGATTTTTTCTAATTGAATTAAATTTGTTTCATATGCAAGATTGTAAACTTTTTGTTAGGATCAAGTTGAAAGAAACAAGCTCTCTGCCTACTGGAAACATCTGACTGTTGTTATCCTTGCCTGTCTTGCATTGTTCATCTTTGAGATGTGTGAAAGGTATTTTACATTATAACTACCTATATTTTATACAAAAATTACATGGTGACGATTCAGTCATATTTTGTTTGTAGTTAGTATACATTTTTTTTACACCTTAACAATACTCTTATTTCTCTTTAAATGTAACTTTTTTTTGTATTCTTACTTTCTTGTATACTGAATATTGTAATCTTGCAAAAAAAGAAAATCCAGATGTTTTACGCCTCCCTGAGTCGGAAAACTTAGCTGTGCTATAGATGAAATATATACATTTTAGATGTACTTTACATCTGATTGAGACTTAGAAAGCAGCATATTCTAAGAACTCTTTGTGACCTTAGTGTTTTCTTGAAAAAGATTTGTTTTTTACCAACCTACCTAACATTTGTATATCCCGAATTCACTGGTCGTTACACTGATCCTTACTGTTAAGTATGAAAATACCAGGAAGCTTAGGGGAGCTCACTCTTGATTTATTTTTTCTCTAGAGGGACACACTTGACAAACCCCTTTTACAGCATCTGGTCATCAGAGGCAGGTGGTACAGCTGCAGTATCCTTCACAACTTGCTTTTTATATTACTTTATTAAGACTTAATTTATGATACACTTTATTTATCTCAGTGGCGTAGCGAGGTCAGGTGTCACCCGGTGCGGCACTTAATGGTGTCACACCCCGCCCCCCCCCCCCCCCCCTCACTACGCCTCTGATTTATCTGTTAGCCTTAGTTATAATAGTCATTAATACTAGTCCTGTTGTTTGAAAAGCAATTATATTAGTTTTAATGTAAACAGTAAAAAATTTCCTTGACTTTTGTGACAGTTTGGTTTCATCATCACAGCTGGTGTCGCTGCTTGTCTCTATTTCATCTTCCTGTGCTACCTTGTGTTTAAGGTTTTCAGGAATATTAGCGCCAAGCGAAACTCACTATTGCACATGAGCACCCTGCGCAGACAATATTACTCTGTAAGTTCATGCTCATTGTAAACAAAGTACATTTTTTAATTGTAATGAGTTGATGAGTACATTATAGTCTTTACCTTAATTATTTTATATTTATTATGTTTTAAAATTTCTCTCAAGATCAATCTTAAACTTTGTTTTGTTACAATTGTCATATGTATACTCGGTAATAGATGATACTTAGCCATTTCATATAATTTTATAGTTAGATCAATATTTTTGTGAAGATTTAAAAAAATGTAGGGATATCAATGCTAAGTGTTTATTGTAGTTAGCTCACAGTTTTTTTAAAGTATTAAATACCTGCTCTTCTTGTTCTTTTCAGGGACGTATTTTCAGATTCAAGTTCCTCATGGTGGTGACATTGCTGTGCGCTGCACTAACGGTCATCTTCTTCATCATTGGTCAGCTGAGTGAGGGTCAGTGGAAATGGGCTGACGTTGATGTCAGTCTGGAGTACACCAGTGCTTTCCTCACAGGTCAGTGCCAGAGTTCTGTACTTGCTAGGTACAGTTAGATAAATTTATTCAGAGGTAAACTTTTTATAGGGAAATGTAAATATACAAGATAATTTTTTATTAAAGGTTTTTTACTTTTTATTTATTTAAATTTATGCTTGTGTTTTTCATTGTTAAAGCTTACATAATAATACAAATAACCAATTTTTATATTCTTCTTCTTCTTTCTAAATTCTAAAATTGGATAGGATTTCCTCAAACACAATTAACTATTAATGTGTCAACATGTTATGCACTATATGACCTGTTGACTCCAATTTCTCTCTCCAAGATGGGTTGCTGTCCCCAGCTATGGAACCTCCTCTGCCCAGTGTCAATGTTGCACCCAGTATATAGAGCTATATATTCATGCATAGGACTGAATGATATACATGTATCTATTCTTTGGTTTAGCGAGCATGAGCTTTACTGTCCTGATAACAATGACCACCATTTTTATATCCTGATAGTTTATTTTTTTGTTTATTTCCAGGTGTTTATGGAATGTGGAACGTCTATGTGATTGCTCTTCTGTGCCTGTACGCTCCCTCTCACAAGAAGTTTGCCACTGATATTGGTGAGCTGTTGGTTTCATAAATTCTTAGAGTGACTACTTAAAACTTGTTATAGATGAATTGAAACATTCTATCTATGCTGAGAACCTACACATAATGGTTAATTTAAGATTTAGAAGCTCTGCAGTTAGAATCACTGAGAGCGCCTGTGAAGATCAGCCAATACTGTTGAAAATGAAGTACTAAAATTTCAAAATAGTCAGTAGTGTCAAATAAAAATTTTCCTTTCTTTCTTAAAAACTGTTTAGCCCGATAAGCACATGAATCCCCCTAAACAGTGTCCAAATACATTTTATATTATTAAAGTACATCCTTAACAAAAGCATGAAAAGAAAGGCTAATCCAATGAACTAAATAGTGATTAATCAAGTTTTAAAGGATTAATACAATGACCCGAAACAAATTATTATTATAAAAAGGCTTATCCAGTTACATTAGAAAAAGATGAAAAATGCTAATCCAATGACCTGGAGCATAAGACCGAAAAGTCTAGAAATTAGAAAAATGAATTTCAGACTTAAAAAAATCTAAAAAAATTCTAGATTTTGGGCTATTTAAAAAAATCTGGAATTTAGTTCTGGTAGTGAAACTTATCCACGACGTCTGTACTTTTGGATAGCCATTTTTAGCAGTTTTTACTTCTAATCTTTTGAACTGAGAGTTTTACCGAACTTAGAGTCTTACTGATGACTGAATTTTTCTGAAATAAGTCTAACATTTTCTTCCGCTTCTTTCGTTCTCAATTTTGTCAGAAATTAATAGAGAAAAGTAAATTTATTTAAAGAACTATTTATGTATGAAACAAATTCGTGAAACTCATAAACTGCATACTTTTTTGATAAACTCATCTTTATTATAAACCATCACTTTTGGTTGTTATCGCAATGAGACCTACAATATGTTTACGATATGTGACCAATGTGTTCACACTGACTCAGTCATGCTAGCACTGTACTATAATTTAAATACATATAATTTGAAGTTGGTGGTTTTTAGTTCATAAAAAATCTACATCATTGTAGGTTTGACATGTTCAGAGGCATTTATGATGTAGGTGAAATCAGGATAATACATGATGAATGTAGTGTAAAGCTAACAAAATAATAAGACTGTAGGTCTTTTATAATTTGTTAACCATTATTTAACAAAGCCGTATCATTTTTAAATGTATGTTTCAATTATTATAGAGAATTTGGCATCAATCATCAAAATGTGTTAAACACCTTGAAATACCATGAGAAAATTCCCCCCTCCCTCGTCTTGTAAATAATATTTAGCCTTTTTTCTTGGGTAGGCAGTTAAATTTTTGTTAAAATATGATATAGACATACATGGCATTTGGTGGATCCTGTTTTCTGTGATAGAATTTTGAAACTTAAAGTTCAAGTGTATGGGTGGTCATGTCTGCTTTAAAACTAGATCTATTATACTGGTAGCTTGTTTCAGTGGCGCATGAAAGTATCACAAATCATTTCTATTTTTGCACTTGTTATTATTTCTAATTTTTTTATAGTCATTGTAGTGACAGCTCTTAAGCTGATTGGCTGATTGTGTTGATGAATTTCTTAACACACTAATATTAACAATAATCTTTTGACTATTTGGGAAACTTATCAAACCTTTGTCAATCTGGTCACATGCCCAAGTTACAGTGAAAATCATTTCTATTAAAGACATTATTTGTTGAAAATATAAGGACTCTAAGTTTATATGCCTAGAGGAGACTAAATTTTGTTCAGGGTAATAATGGTGTTTTAAAAGTGGCTATCACTATACCTGTACTGACAACTATTGGAGCAGATTGACAAACTACTACCATATTTTAGAACAAGAGGAGCCCAAAGAAAATTATTTAAAAAATTTTTTTGAGGATGAATTGACTCAACTGAAGACAAAAAATATTAAGAGGAGCCATTGACTCCATCTGCTGATGAGCCAATGACTCCATATGCTGATAAACTTGCAGATCAGGCTAAAGCCCATCAAAACTTTTATTTTCTAAGTAAAAATCAATGTGCATAGACCAAGTCAGCTGAAATAGTTGTATCAGAAAAGTCTATACAACTTTCCAAAGTTTTGATTTAAAAAAAAAATAAGATGTAAATAGAACACTCACACTGGTGCCTGAAGTAAAATTACCTATTATCAATACTGTTGTTAAATTGACATTTCAAATTGTACATTTCTTTATGCCGCTAAAGCGTTATCTGTATTAAGTCTGGAATTTACCCAAGAAAATGGTCTGGAAAAAGTCTGGAATTTTACTTTCAGAAAGGTCTATGAAAATTGGAAGCTAATATTTAGAAATCTAAATTCAATGAGCTGAAAAATGATTAGAAATTCCAATGACATGAAAAAAGATTAGAAAAGCTACTCCGATGAGCTGAAAAATTATTTGAACGGCTAATCCAAAGACATGAAAAAAGATTAGAAAAGCTAGCGCAATGAGCTTAAAAATGATTAAAAAGACTAAACCAAAGACATTAAAATAATTAGCAAGGTTAATCCAATGACCTGATAAAGGATTAGACAGGCTAACCCAATGAGCTGAAGACTAATAATAAAGGCTAATCCACTGAGCTGAAAGTATAGAGTTTAACCGCTGGCATATTTTGGCTTGATTCTGCAGATGAGACAGACAGCACCAGTAGGGAGGAGGAGGTCCAGCTGACACAGATGCCGTCAGAGTCCTCCAATATTTCCAGCCTACTGGCAAAAACAGCTGCTGACTAGACGCTGGCACCCTGCTGGGTTCTCATATCACAGGGTCAACCCATTGTCTTCATCACAGGAGTAACACAGCAACAGCACAAAGAACATTAGGAAACAGAAACTTGAATTTTGAACTGTGATGAGTGATAATATTTTATCGTGTTTTGTTCAGCTAAAACACAACAAAAACAATTTTTAAAAAAACATTCCTTTATTTATTTGGATATGTAAGAATCAGAAAATTAATTATTTACACAATTTATAAACCTGCGTTCAACGCCGTAAAAAGAAATCAAGTAGCAAATGCTAGACCAGGCTGTATTAAGACAATCTGAAAAATAGATGCATTTTCTGTTTATTGACTAATCGACAAAGGAATCCAAGCAATAAATAAATAGTTGACTTAGCAATACTGTAACCAGCCAGTTCTCTGACTAATTTAAATATTTTTTTTATATCTAATACTAATACTGTTAATAAATGTGTCAATGAGTACTTTAGTTTAGATGCATATATAGCTTTTACAAACTTGCTTTATCACTTGTATATAAGACTAAAATGTAAATAATTGTACACTTTCAGTTGTTGTCAATGTATATTTTTACACTACTAAAATTTATCATATATTACAAAATTAATTATTTACTGTCTTCACATTTTTTAAAAAGTTGTACTTTTGGTTATCAGTGATAAAACATAAGACCTCTGTTAATGATTTATTTACATGTTTGATTTGCCGGCATAATTAAAATGTGTATCTATTTATCAAAATGTTGTAACATACCATCGTCCACATAGGTATTAATTAATGATTTTACAAATGTTGATGCTACTGACTAACCTGAAGCTATATGTCCATTGCAACATTTTTGTAGTCAATTCAAAGCTGCCTGAGCATCTAGCTGTAGGCAAAGTCCATACCTTGGCACTGCTAGAGAGTTTTGGCCCTGAGAAGGTGGGAATATGGACCTTAACAAACCCTCAACAGGTAAACCACTTTATTCACAAAAATTTACATTATGTTAAGTTAAAAGCTGTAAATAAATGTTTATTTCCATTTGAGAGATTCTTAACCACAGCTTTCCTTGCTGCAAATTATTTTGCTTACAAAAAACTGTTAGCATCAATATACTTTTGTAAATAATATTTTGGTAAAGAACGTAAACAAATAGATTTTTAATCATGTAAAATAATTGGTTGAAAATACCCAGTTTTAAAAAGTTGACAATATTCTACTATTGTACTAAAATGTAATGCTAACCACATCTGTTTAGTGTAGTGTAGCAAAAACAGTAGCTTCATAATATGTTACATATGGTATCAACTTTGTCCATAATATTGTTTGAGCACTATTTAAAGAAAGAAGAATCAAAAGCTCTGTGTTCATTACCTGTACTGCTGTTTAAAGACAAAAACTTTACAAGCTGATTTTGTTACATTCAAGTTTTACCTTGTTCATATGGGTGGTATTTCATATATAAATAGTTTCATTTGAAGCTGGCTTGTAACTTACATATCATGTGTTGTGACATTATTCTAGTTTAAGTCTCATCTACAAGCAATAATAGCTACCCAATCTTGATGTTCTAATGTAATTTACAAATCTTTGAGTTGTGATGGAATTATTCTACTTAAAGTATTAATGTAATTTATAAATAATGTGTAATGAAATTAAGCTAGTTAAAGTATTAATGTAATTTACAATTCATGTGTTTGAAATTTAAAGTCTTAGCTACAAGCAATAATAGCTTTCCATTTGTTGTCCTCTGCAGCCAAAAGTTTTTTTTTCTCTACAACCTGATTGTTTTTTAAATTTAATTTTCGATACAAATCGATTTTTCTCCCACAGCAAAAGAATGTTATTATAAAAATTAAAGTACTTTTCTAAGAAACCCAAATATTTCACAAGCCAAATTTAATTTTTTTTCATCTCAAATTTTTTTTTATCACATACCCCCTTATAATTTTTTTCCCCATTCAGCTTATTAAGAGATAAAATATTTAATCTGTGCTAAGGTTTAAGATGTCATAAATATTTAATTATGCCAACATCGTGAACCATCTATAGGAATAGTTTTTCTACCAACAGATTCTCCATACACACAGATTAATTATATTTATTTATTTAAGTCTGAAGCTTGAAAGGGCTATCATTATTTTTTTTTAATTGTAATTTTGACCTGTTGAAGTAAGAAAAATAAATTGTAGTGACAATTTTTTTTTTTTTGGAAAACTTCAGTAATTTATCTTTTGGCATAAATATTTCCCTTAAGTCAAATAGTCATTTTAAAGAGAATTTTTTATGTGCAATGTTTGCTATTTTCTGAGCTTTTTTTTTCTATTGTTCCAGTCCTATGTTGCCATTATTATTTTTAAATTTTGACCTTTTTAAAAATTTCTACTGACTGCCAACATTAAGGATTTGCTTCCACATTATATCTCAGAGCTGATTTTTAAATTTTCAACTGCATTATTTTGTTCTTTAGGGACTAGACAGATTTTTATTCCAAATTTTTAATGTTTGTTTCCAATATATTATAACAGTTTCCAAGTATTGGAGGAAGTGAAAAACAAAAACTGCTGATACAGCAACTTGATCAGCCAAGCAAGTGAACTTTGATTTCACGGTGAACTTTTGGTTCACTCTTGGTTTGTTTTGTAGATCTACAGATAGCTAGTTGTTAACAGTTAGACTTTTTATTTTCCTCTAGTTGGGTAGTATTTCCTTCTCATGATATTACACCTGTATTTTTATACAACTTTACAAACTTATACTGATTATTTTTAAATTCATATTTTTAATATTTACTTTTTAGATTTAAAGAACCATTTATTAGTTTATATAACCACTACACCCCCCCCCCCTCTCTCCCCCCCCCCCCCCCCCCCCCCCAGAAATATGTAAATATTTATCAAAAATCAAATTCAAATTATTGTTTAGGTCTAATCTAAACTATACTTTTTTTGTAGATTTTTTTTTATTCTTAAAACAAATTTTTTACATTGTAACTTGTTTTTAGACAAAATTATTTGATGCACAAGAACCAAAGTTCTATGCTAACATAAACCTAGTTGCTGGCAAAATGTGCCCATACTTAACATAAACCTAGTTGCTGGCAAAATGTGCCCTTATGTAACTAAGGAGTCACCTTTTTCACCCCGAGCTATTTTGAACTAGAGCCAAAAATAACTAGGGGCTCTAGAAGATCAATTTTTCGACATAAACTAATACATATTACTTTTACTTGCGTGCTTACATTTGTGGTGAATGTTTAAAAAAAATCATATGTAAAATTTCAAATTGTCTTAAGAAATAAATTCGTCTTGGTATTGGTAAGCCAGATAGTAAATTTGATAGTCCTCTGAGTCACACTTTGGGTAGAGTTAAAAGTATAAAACTATAACAAACTACTGACTGGTTCTTTAAGTTTTAACACTGAAGGCCAGATTAGTATTGCCTTGAGACTGTTTGAAATAAGTCAAAAACTGACTAAATGGTAAAGTGAAGTTAACCATTGTAGATGGTCATAATATCTGGATCTTTTAGGGCATAATATTCAATTGGAAATCAAGCCCTAGTTGTTTGTGGAAAATTGTTTGCAAAAAGAATTCCTTAAGATCTGCATATACAATTTATTTCTGTTATATTATCTGTTGTGAATATTTTTACAAATCAGCATTTTGTTTGTTGGGGCTAAGATACAGTTAGCTTGGATGTTTACATTTTTACCTCCCCTGGTCTGGTGTACATTCATATATATTTACATTATTTACATGATTTTGTGTAACTTACGTAGTCATTGTAACAACAGTTTATGTATAAGGGTAATTGTTTCTTTTTGAGTTGTGTAACTTAGACATTTTTATTTTCACTCTTTTAGAAATAAACTTTAATACTTTCTAGAAAATATTCTTGTGTTGCAATTTTAAGACCTATGTATGGTTCATACTGGTGTGCGCAAGAATGAATACTGAAGGATGCATAAGCATAGCTACTCACAACCTAATGCTACTGTTGCTGTTGTTGGCTCTGTTACATCCATATTGTGGGCTTTTTTGTGGTCAGTGTTAGATATTGACTGAAGGTTTGGGGACTGAATCTGTTACTTGTTAGGGGTTGGGGGGGGGGGGGGGGAAAGACAGGTTTCGTTATTGAACTTTTACAGTAAATTATTAAAGTTACTCTCAAAACAAGGTGAAGTAGAGCACACCTGTTTAGGTATTCACATTGGATTATTGGGTTACCAGCTATGTTGTTCCCTCGTAGCTACACAGCGCAGTCATTTGGAACCTACCCCGCAGTCATTTTGTAAAAGAAATTTTAAACACTGAGCTCACTAAATTTATGTTCCATGCTAGATTTTTTCCCCTTAGAGGAAACGTTAGTTACCGGTACAATGCCAAGCTTATTATACTTTCTTAAAGTCATGGCCAGGTACCCTATTTAGCTGAATGAACTCAGGTAAAAAAAAACACGAGCAAAAAAAAAACAGGTTCACTTTCATCATAATGTACTGTAACTGTATGTAACAAATATCATTGAACAACGGCAAGGGACTTCAACTAATTTTTTTTCTGTATTTTATTTTGGAATTTTGACAGAAAATTTTAGAAAACAAACTTGAGTGATTCACTTTATAAAAATGATCTAAGCAGAGCGTGAAGCCAGTATCATTGCACCCATCCATAAGTCAAAGTATATCAAAACACAAAAATTAGTTTCTATTGCCTCAACAGTCTCTACAGCTGACAATCCAACCTAAGGCATTCATCAGATAAACATTTCTATAACCATCTGTGGTTGGATGTTAGTTCATGCTTTCCACCCTCTCTACTATCAGCTGTTACATTTGCAAATATATTTAAAAATAATATTTCTGGATCTTGATGTAACAATCTGGGATTGTTTCGTTATTTTGCTGAGGTTTTTAAAACTTTTTTTGTTTTTTTCAAACACTTTGGGTCTGCAAGCCTCTGATGCCATTGAATCACATTAAAAAAGTTGAATTCTGGTGAAGAAGATAGACGGTCTATGTCTGTAAAGATGTTCTGTTGGTTTAGATGGGATTGTTTTTGTCTGTCAAATGTAATTTTATATGGTGGCATTATGTCTGTCAGTGTTGTTTTTGCTTTGTAAGATTTTGTCTTTCATTAACTATTTTTTTCTGATGTTGGTAAAAGTTTGTATGACAGTAGTTTTGCTACTTGTTTTTTTTTTAAATTCTGTCCATTAGGATTGTTGTCTGTTAATGTCTGTCTTGGTTTACAGTTGTTTAAAGCTATGTCTGTCTGAGACAATGTCCCAGACTTTGACCGTGTCTGTCTAATGCTGCTCCCTGGGTGTGAACTGGACCAGGACGGGTCTGTCAGGGGTCATCATGGTGTTGAGCACAGGTTCCACGTCGTCGTGGTTGTAGCTTAAGGTGAAGTTCTGGATGATCTGTGGTCAAAGAGATTGGCTGTTACTAAATGTTAGGGATGATCTGTTGTTAAATATATTGGATGCAACTCGATGTTAGGAATGATATGTGGTAAAACATACACGGCTTTTACTGTTAGGGATGATCTGCATAATATTTATCTTTTGTGTTACTTTTTATAACTGTTCAAAAATTAAATAGTGAGTAGAGATCTTTTCGCTTTACAAACTTAATTAACAGGTACAGTTTATTTTTCCGGTTTTACATTCCAAGGGAAACAACTCAATAAATATTTTTTGGCAAAAATTGACTTTACAAGGTTATGTACCCCTACGGAATTGAAAAAAGAAAATTGTAGTGGGCGGTCTACTTGCTTTCTGCGGTGTTAATTGAATGAGAGGGGGGAGGTTTGAGGCTTTCTGTGTTTATGTTTTACGGTAACCGGTAAACTGCAAGAGAAATGTGTAACGTGATTGACGTGTTTTGAGCACTTTTCGCATTTTACCAGTCTACCTTTTCCATCATCTGGTCGTCTTGTATTTTTCAGAATCAGACTTTGGATGCTGAAAATCAAGACAACCCGCCTATACTCAACTGATTATACATGCGAGTGTTGGTTATGCTAAGTGGGTCGTTACTGAACAATTACGTCTTTATGTTAAAAAGCAGAAGATTGCATTACTTTGCTATGTGGATACAAAGCCATCTAGATGGCAATACGACCTTCTAACAAGTTTGTTCAACAAGCCAGTTAAAATTAGCAAATGTGTATTATATTAACAGTAACACTAGCAAATACTCACCTTAGACAGGTTAGAGAAAACAATACTCACCTTAGACAGGGTGATGTGCATCTCTTGTTCCGCAAGTCGGCGACCTAGTATCGGAAAGAAAGTAAACATAAATAGTTGAGCTTGGTTAGGCGTGTATCCTTGTAAGAGGTGCTTAATACTTGTTGGTGCCGGTAACGTAGTAAAGGTGGTGCGAGTTGATGCTGGCTACTGCATACATCAATTTAAAAAAACTGAAGTTTAGTGTAACAAATTATGTGTTTCTCTTTTCGTTTACTAGCTACAGTCGATTTGGTGTGAAGTGTATCTGTAGTCTATCTTTCAAAACTTGAGCTATACAAATGCGTAGTGGCATGGGCAAGGGAGTTCGAAAATGTTTATACAAAGTGTTGTGTTTATTTAGACATACTTATTTAAATGTTTATAAGCAATTAATAAGTTTAGGGCATTAAATATACCTATTATGTTTATTATAAATTTAAAGTACTAGATCTATATTTTAATATGTTGCTGTTTGTTTTTCTATGAATGCCTCTATTCATTTTCTTTTCTTTCTTTCCTTTTTTGCTTTCTGACAAATGCCTGAAGACCCAACATCAGGTTTTTTATATGAGAAAGTTAAAAAAAACCATGAGATAAGACATTGATTCCCTACCTATGCACATGCGAGCACCATGGCCCCAGATGAGCTGGGATGTGGACTTGATGGTGGCGTCCATTTGCTCACCCCTCAGCCATCGCTCTGGGAGGAACTCTTCAGGGTTGGGGAACAGCTCGGGGTTGTGGTACATACCATAGAGGTTGGCCTGTACGTGGGTCTAGGGGATAGCAAAAACATAAATATATCTTGTGGTACATGACATAGCCTGTACGTGGGTCTAGGGGATGGCGAAAACACAATTATATCGTGTGATACTTGAACTCAGGACTTCTCAGTTTACCAATCGTGGCTTAGCGGTAGAGTGCTAGACTGATAACACCGAAAGTTTCGACTTCGAATCCAAGTTCAATCAGCAGAACGTCCCTGAGCCCACCCAGCTCTGATGGGTACCTAATTCATGATAGGGAAATAATAGGTGGCTGGGCATAGTGCCGACCACTTTATGCCGAAGTAATTGAAACAGATGAACTCTACTTCAATGCCCTATGTGTCTGGGGCACAAACAGGAAAAGATGATGAAGCATGAGCTTTACTGACCTCACCATGCATTCCCCTTATTCTGATATACAATAAGCCAATAAGTGAAGAGAAATAATATATTTACCAATAGTAATACGAATGAAGATTAGTGGCTCGTTTATAAACCATGGAAACTTTTAAAACGATATCGTGCATGTTGTACCTACCCCAGCTGGGATTCGATACCCAAGCAGCTCGATATCTTCCTGGACATTGCGGCTGGTGGCGTACGTGATGGGGTAGAGCCTCAGGGTCTCCTTCACCACGGCTTTGACTAGAGGCAGACGACTCAGCTCCTCGGCGCTGATAGAGCCGTTGTTGGCAGCCTTTGCCTCGCTGATCTCGGCGTAGATCTTCTCCTGGACCTGAGGGTTCTTGGCCAGGTTGTAGAGGCACCACACCATGGCGGTGGAGGTCTGGGGGGGGGGAGGTCATTGATGGGTTAAACTTTGATAGATTTTGTTGTTAATAATTGATATATTACACTTTGAGTGATTTTGTTATCAAGAGGAGTTTGACAGATTACCCTTTGGGAAACTTTGTTACCACGAGAAGATTTAACTTCGAGAAAGAATTTTGACGGGATACCCTCTAAGGTACTTCACAACGAGTAGCTGTTAATATTTTAAACCTCCCATGTCAATAGTAGTCACTTATTCCATCAACATGAAGAATTGGTAGGAAAACCATTACATTATTAATTCAATAATGAGCTTTTATTTAGTGTTAAGCCTATCTATACATAGATTCAACAAATAAATTCAAAAATCCCTCTTGTGTATGCACATGTGGGTACTCACTGTTTCTACAGCTGCTGTCATCAGGTCAATGACCAGTGCCGTGACCTCTTTGGTGGACATGGTACCACTGTCCAGTAAATAGCTGATGAAGGCTGACTTGCTTCCATTGTCGCTTTCCATGGAGGCCATTTTCTGTCGAATAAAATCGTGTGATATTCTTATTCCAGAGTGACAATTGAGCTGAATATGATAGAAAATAGGAGACCCAACTAGGGGCAAAACGATACATTTCGTTCATTGAAGCAAACTGTAAGTTGGCTATTTGATTTTCCTAAAACTAAAATATTTATGTAAGGACAAGCGTTAGGGTGGGGATGTCTCATATCTCCAACCCGCCAAATTCACTTCGAAAACAGAAAACGTGTTGAAAACTGTTGGAAGGTTTTGAAGCGCTATCTAAATTTGTAGAAACTACTACAATTTTGAAAACTGACAGGTTTTTTTTTAATTAAAAATTAACAGTTTTGAAAGTGTATAATTAAAATTTACGACCGACAAAGGGTTGAAAATCGACGAGGTTTTTTAAAAGTTGACAAAGTTTTAAAAGTTGACAAAAGTTTTGAAAGTTCACTTGAGGCATCAAAAAGTAATTACATCGAAGAAAAACAAAACACGTTTAAATTATTAATAATACAAACAAAAGAAATGACTTTTCACATCAGAAAGTTCAATGAAACTCTAAACAATGTGTAACAGCTACTCACCTTCTCCACAATAGAGCGACCAATGTCCATGACGTTATCAGAATAATGTTCGAACTGTTTCCATGTTTTAGTCGCCCACAGCTTGTAGAAGGGCATGTTGTACATGAGGGGCTGCAGCTTTTTGAAGAAACCCTCCATGTTTTCAATGAACGACTGGGCTAGGGGCGTCGGCTGAGCGCCCAGGCACCCGATTCGTTCTTCGAATAGGAAGGTGCCCATGGCTATAGTACGCGACAGAAGAAATTGATTTAGTTTGAAAATTAGACGTGGTAAACATAGTCTTGAGTTGTAGACTGTTCACAAATTAGGCCCGATAATTATATTTGAACAATTTAAGAAATAAAACCCTTGTATTAAATTGAATACTATAAAAAATGAGAGCATGATGCATCATTTTGTCAATTATCCCCAAAAGAATAACTCCTGCCTAAAAATGATGTAGATCTAGATCATTACCTCAATTTCGACTACAAATTGATTCTAAACCTAATTCTAACATTATACGTAACCCTAAACGAAAGGTAGGCAGTGTTAGGATAAGGTTATTATGGTAAGAGTTAAAGGGTAGCCAATGACTAGCGAAAGTACTAAATACGATTGTTTGCTTTCACTGCCTCTCCCATTTCATACATTGTTTGAATACCGAGTTCCTTAGTTTATCGTAACATGTAGACTACAAATAAGTAAGAGTGGGGTAATTACCATGGGGGTAATTGACAGGGGGTAATTCATCTTAGGGATAATGATATGGGGTAGTGACTAGGTAGTAGCTGATCGGAGGGATGAGTGTATGTGTGTGTGGGGGGGGGGGGTGGTGTCAATGCCCAAGACACATTAAAAAACTGAATTAAGGTATTTAAAAAGAGACGAAATAATTAAGTCATTAAAATTATATTAATTAGTGGCAAACATAACTTACATTCCATGGCCCACTTGAAGAACTCCCTCTCGACTGCGGGGACCTCGCCCTGAGCGTTGCGGGCAGACGACAGCCGCTTCATGAAGTCGTCTGCGACCTCCCCCATCTCCGCGCTAAAGCTGGTCACCTCAGACAATTTGAGCATCTTCTTGCTGGCCACTGTCCGCTGTTTGTACCACGGCTCGCCCTGACTGAGAGACCAAGTTCAACCTTACACATGCTGGCATTGAACAGATGTCTTTAAACACAAAGTTCAACCTTACACATGCTGACATTGAACAGATTTCTGACAAATTTATCCATTGTCGCGAAAAGCCAGACCTCCCCCCCCCCCCACGCAAATGACGTCACCACTTAATCTTCAGCCCCATCCCTAAAAATCATACAACTTCTTTTTTTTAAAATTGATTTCTTTCAGAAATATATACTGAGCTTTGTCAAAGTTGAGAATTTTAATCAAATTATGTTACAGTTTACAATAAGAATCTTTTTAAAAAAACGCGAAATAAATGCCGAAATTCAGTTTCTAAAATATTTTTTTAACGCAATTGTGTAGTCACACTTTCTGAAAATCTGCTCCCCTCCTATCCTTTTCGTCGCATATCGTCAGATGATTCACTCCCCCTCTCCCCCCCCCCCCCTCCTCCCCTAGGCATGTTATATCATTTATGGACGACCCCAAAGTTAATGCGATAGAAACACAACAAATGCTTATTAGGTTTATCACATCTACAGACAGTAGGCCTATGTCACAAATGTAGCCAGACAGAAAATACACCTTCATACTGTATTGAACTAATAAAACTGTGTACATAAAAACGTAAATAGCATTGAAACTTTAAACAAATCTTAATTTACAGAAAAAAAAATAAAATGAAAGGGTAAGGTAAATTGCTTCACAAAGGAACAGAGAATGAAACTTGACTCGAGTTCGTCGTAATAGTAAAAAAAAAAAACATTTGTAAAATGTAAATAGCTAAAAACTCTCGGTATCTGGGTTTTTTTAAAGAAAAAAAAACAAACAAATTTTATCCAAATCGACAAAATCGTGTTTCCTCCCCCTCAACATCAGTTACACAGTTTTCTTTTTTGCAACAATCCATATGCCGGCTTTGTGTACTTCTACTAATAGGTAGATCATGTACATTCCAGTCACTACCCACTGATGTTTAAATGTGGATCCACATTACTAGGTGCACTAAATTTATGTTAAAACTCCACGTTTTCTATTGCTAAAGGGCTTCATCAAAAACCTTACTCATTAAAGTAATTTTTAAGTGTGCTTTGTATTAACTAAAAAACTTACGAGTTGACAATGCCTAGATCAATGCCCTTCTGCTTCCTGTAGTACTCTATGGGCACCATGGGTCGTCTGTGAGGGTACTTGCCCTCGGCGTGAACCAAGCGGTTGTAGGCCTCAGGACTGCTGACCACTACACTGTGGAAGTGGCCGACCTTCTCGTAGTAGATGTCTCCAAACTCCAGGGCTCTTTGTCTGTATACCTGGTCATAGACAGCATTCGTGGTGATTTCAGACCGATCATTCACAGATTCATTTTAAATACACGTTTCATTTTGACAATTTGCATACCCATTTTGTATAGTTATTTCTTTTGTACAATTTACATACCCATTCGTAGACAATTTACATACACATTTCGTATACACATTGCATTTAGACAATTTACATACACATTTCATATACACATTGCATTTAGACAATTTACATACACATTTCGTATACACATTGCATTTAGACAATTTACATAAACATTTTGTTTACACAATTTTTACAATTTACAGAAACATTTTGTATACTCATTTCACTTTGGCAATTTACATACACATTTCGTATACATATTTCATACTAATTTTTTTTTTGACAATTTACGTACACAGAAAAGAAAACTACACAAACAATTGCTGCCTTACAGATTATTCTTAAGTGGACAAAGTAGATTTGTCTTCCATAGCGGAAGCAAATCCTGAAAGAGAAGATGGCTGAAGTCGGAGTCAACGGGCCATTTGGCACACTACATGTTGACACAGAATACCCAGTTTGTTGGAGGAAGTCCCCCCCCCCCCTCCTGAACGAAACAGAATGTATATAGAAAATATATACTTTTTTCCAGTTTCCGCCCCCCTCCAATATTAAGTGCTCTTCCCCCCCCCCCTCCCCACTAGAGAAAAAAAAAGTCTGAAAGAAACACTGGTTCTGCCTAACATTACAAATTAAGAACAAATACGTTATCTTTAAATGAAACCTTAACCCCTGGGTAGGCATGAAAAGCCAAAGTTCTAAATGGAATTTGGCACAATTTGTAGGCATGGAAAGCAAAAGTTATCTCAATGGAACCCTCTACCTCGGGTAGGAATGGGACGTTAGGTAAAAAAAAATAATAACTCGCAGTAAAGTACTATCTTGAACTAGTGAGGAGAAAGATTACAAGCTGCAGTAGTCAGGTGAGGAAGTGAGAAGCGTCTTACGTCAAACATTTTATTGAACCTGGGTCCGTCCTTCTTGAAATAATCCAGCAGAGTCCCCAGTACAGGGAGGCCTTTGGGCCCTGGCATGCTGCTAAACGGCTGGACGTTGGTCACCTCCTGCAGTGACGTGCTGTCGTCTGCCATGGCGCTGCCACTTTTCATGAACGGGCATTGCTAAAAATAAACGATGGCGTGTTTGGTAAAGGACACATTTTTTTTAAAAAAACGTCGTAAGTTTGAATGTTTGTGTTGCTTTATTAACATCCGACTCATTAATTGCGAATGAATACAAGATGTACAAGATGTTAAAAATGTGATCTTTTAAATTAATTTATACAAAAACATCCAATCCGTATTTTATATTAGGTAATGCGTGTAGATATAAAAAAAATGCCAACCAATATGCTAAAAAAACGAATTTTACAATAACGTGTCTAGTAAGTTGAAATGCCCATTGTCTAGCGCGTTTTCTTTATTGTTGATAGGACGGGGTTTTCTAAAAACACAATCATATTTCAGGCATGGTTGTTCTTGGTATGGGATTTGAGTTAAGATCAGGCTACTGTTAAAGCTTGGTTTACGGTTATACTGCTAGCAAAATTTAATTAGACACGCCGTTCATTGAGAAAACTACCATAAAATGCGACTTTTTAATGAAGTTTAGAAGAGAATTGTTTCGGATATTTTCGCCAGGGGATTTTAACCTGGAGTGACGCGTCTAATGAGCTTAATCTGAGAAGAATGTGCGTCAAGCTGTGGTCTAATCGGGGACGGATTAAGCTCACACTGGCTCATGGGCTAACGGAATCTAAGCCCCCCCCCCCTTTTTTTTTTCTCACAGAGCTTCTAACAAAGACGACTTTACTAGAAAATTTCGAACATGGGACAGTTAAGAGCACAAATTAAATTCAATGACGCTGATGATAGCAATACATTTATTCTATGTTCAAATCTATTGGTCCTTAATTGTAACTGATTTAATTCAAAACATTTTTTTTTTACTTCTAGTATTTTTGGAATTGTCTGGTTTCATTTTTAAAATTGCCTTATTTTTAACAATAAACGCTACAAATATGCATAATGTGTTGGATAATTATTCTACACATGTTTTAAAAATGAGTAAATTCGTAAATATTTTAAAATTTAAAAATGAATTTTTGTTTAATGCAATAAAAAGAAGTATGGCATACAATTGAATTTTCTATAAATGTACGATGTAAGTTTTTTTTATTTTTCCATTTAAAAAAAATAATTGTTTTTATAAATGCAAATTGCTCAGTAATAATTAATTACCTTGGTGAAATTTACAATTTCTTCCGGCTGCGTTTTCGCATTTAGGTCATTCAAGTTTCATAAAAGACAATTTGTGCAACAAATGAATACAAGTTACATACTTAAAAACCCTTATAGTCCCATTACATTTTAGCTGACACCTTCACCCCCCCCCCCCTCCAACAAAAACCGCCGAAACATAGTAAAACATATATGCAACTGGAATCGAGAGTACAGGTGGCATTTACCTGGAGTACAGGTGAGATCTACCTGGAGTGTAGGTGACATTTACCTGGAGTACAGGTGACATTTACCTGGAGTACAGGTGACATTTACCTGGAGTACATGTGACATTTACCTGAAGAGTTGGTGACATTTACCTGAAGAGCTGGTGACTCTAGGCTGATGGCTGCAGCACCTTGCTCCACCCGCGGTGACGTGGACACCACACGTTTTGATGACGCCACGCTGGGGCTGACGAACTGCTTCACTGATTGGTTGACGAGTTTCCGGATAATAGCCATGTCTGTTGGGGGCGTGAAACGGAAGTCGGAAATATAAGATGTGTGACTTGTCAGGGTCAAATTCACACAAGCAGTCCATGCATTTAAAAACCTATAATTTACTACAAAAAATACGCGCGCATGCACACTACACGCGGGCGTTAAGTCAACAACTCACTCCGAGAACCACGATAAAAAGCACTCCGCGCACTTGAATACCTAAACTCACCCCAAAATCAGCTTACATGCATTCTCCATGCACAATAAAACTATCACTTCACTCAATAATTACGTTTACACATAAACTCAACGCAAGCTAAAACCCGTGACTTACTCCAAAAACAGCTTACAGACATTCTCCATGCAACAATAAAACTAACACATCCCTCAATACTCACGTTTACACACTAACTAAACTCACGCTAAAACCCGTGACTTACTCCAAAAACAGCTTACAGGCATTCTCCATGCACAATTAAACGAACACCTCACTCAATAATCAAGTTTACACACTAACTAAACGCACGCTAAAACCTGAGACTTACTCCAAAAACATGCACTGACACATCAATTACTTCATTAAACACATTTTAACACACTATATTGCTTGCTACACTTCTCCATATTGCGAGGCTTATTCCTTTTTTTTTACACAATGCTTATTCATGAAGCGCATATCAACACCACACCCAAAAACAAAGTTTTACTCATTTCATTCTTAAAACACAATCAGACACCATTAAGTACACCTTGAAAAAACTCACCTTTAGAAATACACATAGACACAGTTCACTCCTGAAGCACCCTTAGTCATAAAGCACCACAGAAACACCTACAGAGAGCACCTGGTACTTACCAGTTTAAGTTTTAGTTGGCTTAAAAAGTTGATTCAAATCGATGCTTCTTTATGTTTCGTAAGACGATTTTCTCAGAGTATTAATTTCGGGCTGTAAGGGCTTAATAATTTTTTTTAATTACTCACGATAAGGGCTTTTAAAAATAATTATGGGCTTTTATAAGATATTTACTCTATAAAAAGTCTGAATTTTTAAAATCTATGTTCTTAAAAATAAAAATCTAAATTTAAATTTTGAATAAATTGATAGCCACGCGCGCGGTGAGCTATAGTTCCTAACGCCCTTTGCCCGGGAAGCGATAAACACTGGGTTACTTCCCCTTTATATAGCCGTCCAAAGGCTCTGACGTCAACAGCGCTCGAGGATCTGTGACCCCCACCGTGCTAATCCCCGCTTTCCTGTGGAATTATTGGAGTACCAGATGAGCGCTCATTCTGAAAATAGAATTTTTTTTTTTCCCTTTCCAGAAACTTCTGTTCTTTACCGTCACTTACACCGGCGTCTTCCGATCACGTGATAATGTAACTACTTCTATCTGTCATCACGTGGCTTTATGTCACGTGTTTCTTATATAATTTAAAAAAAAAATGAATTAGCTGAAAAATAAATCTTAATCTTATAATCGTTACCAAATAAATCTAGTCCGGACTTTTGGTTTAGTCATCATTGGTTAGTGAAGCTACTGGGTGGGTGGGTGGGTGGGGGGGGGGGTGCTGTCATGACGTCAGCATTATAAAAAAAAATACCGCTTGAAATAGAACCAAAATAATTTTTTAACAATTTTTTTGAGTTGAAGGGGGTGGGAGGGAGAAACTACAACGCAATTTCAATGATGTAGTTTTCATTGAGGTTTTAAGAAGCGGATTTGGTGGATTAGCCATCCACTGTAATAGGAGAATCCAGTGTTTCCTCCCGAGAGGGTGGAGGGGTGGACTAAAATTTCCGGGGGAGGGGCCGAACACTGGTAAAAGTATATTTACATCTATACAAATTCCATTTAGGGTTGTTTTTTTTTGGGGGGGGGGGGGGGTAGAAGTCGATCTGGAGCTGCCTGGAAGAAACTCTGAATCAGTCCCCAACAGTAGCATATGTGAAATTTGCTAGTGAGCCATAATTTGCTGTATGTTTAAAAATAGAATGGCAAGACAAAGTAGAAAACATAAAACTATGTGGACAGGAAACAATAGAAAGGCAAATCATAGAGAGGAATTGGCACACGATTAGTGGGTTTTTTTTTTAGATTATGCGTTTGGTGTCTGCATCTGTTCCTCCCGATACACTGAGCACAATTCGTATATAAAGCTGTCTATTTTGGTCGACGCTTGGGTTTTCTAATTCTAAAGCTCTATCTTGTTTAAAGATAAACAATCATTTCATTTTGTCTTTTGGTGGTTTATTCTTTGTCACTTTCCAGTCTCGCTCAAATCTGTAACTTTGTGTTGTGTGTCTTGGAGTCTGTTTGATAGTAAGGCTGTATCATCAGCAAGTCTTTGTGTCAGGGGTCCATTGGATTCCTCTGACTGAGTCTGCTTATACCTCTCTTGTGACCTAATTTAAAACTAGCAAGAACAGTAAAGGTGCTAGACTCTACTAGAGTGAGCAATTTAGAGAATGTGACATCAAACTTGCAGATGTAAACTTGTGTTAATATTCAACGAAATTGAGTTATTATTAATATTAAGTGCGGAAATAACGTGTGTGTTTTCTTTATTTCTTAAGTATCCATGCTTTAGAATGTTTTTTTTTACAAAATATTGTTACAACTTAATTATGCCTATGCTATGGTTCCAATAGTGACACATTACATATTTAAGTCACCTAATGTCACATAACATGTTTGTCTCAACCAGTTACACAAAACATACATGTGTCACCTAATGTCACAAATCATGATTGAGTCATCAAATGTCACAAACATGTTTGTGTTAACTATTGTCACAAAACATGCTTGTGTCATCTTATGTCACAAACATGTTTGTGTTAACTATTGTCACAAAACATGTTTGTGTCACCTAATGTCACAAAACATGCTTGTGTCATCTAATACGATGAATATACCTTAGAATCCATCCTAACACTCAACTTTTACCTGTACCCATCTTCTATATAAGTAGCAGATTTATATTAATGTATCTCCCAATAGTTCACTGTATCGTATTTATTCACTTATATACATGCATAATTATATGTATGTTTTGTATCTTACTAAATTCTTTTTTAAACTTATAATCTTTTTATGATTACGTAGAGCAAATATAAACATAAAGACATTTATAATTTATATTAAGTATTTTATTTTATAAATTAAAATTTGAACAACGATACACGTGTAAATGTATATTACTATTATCATTAACAACAAGGGAACCAACACAATGCTTGTAATGCCATACACAATGGATTTTATTAGCACCAAATATTGCAGGAACGCAAATGTCGATATTTGGCTGGCACCTGGGTGAGAAGATTCATTCGAGGATTATAAGTCAGCAGACCAACTCCTCTTAAAGTGGAGGGAGGAGGGGGGGGGGGAATGTAACACCACCCTGACCTCGCTGTTTGCGGTCCAATTCTAATCAAAGATTTGGGTCACGGTGAAGAAAAAAAATCTTTGTTCGATAAAAGTAGAGGTCAAAGTTCATGTCAGGATACCCTTGACCTTCGCTCTCAATGAGAGATCAGTGCGGTAGTTATAGTCAAGTATTGAGCGGACTGCATGAATTGCTGCCTTAAAATTAGTTGAAACAATGTTGAAGTTTTATGGGTTGTCTCCCATGTATTAGGTATGTTGTGGATTACGGCCCCTTTCATGTAGGAAAACAATCTCGCGCTTAGGCAATAAAAGGAATTTTCAATAATTAACAGCAATGTAAATTATTCCAACACAAGAAATTCTACACACATGGTTATGGGAAGGCAGAATGGTGTTCCATAAACACATGCACATGTAAACATCACAATAAACATACACCTGTTTATACCAATAAAAACACATGTTTATATCAATAAACACATACCTGTTAATTTAACGATAATCAAACAGCTGTTAGTATAACAATAAACACACACCTCTAAACAATTAACACGCCTGTTAAAAACAACATAAATATAAACACACGCCTTCAATAATGAAAAGGATAAAAACATTGTCAAGGTTAACGCCATTATCAGCTATAAAAAAAAATAATGTATTCACCTAATTGTAAATAAAAAATGTACAATCGATAAACCAGTACAGCTACCGGTACGCAACGGAGGATCATTTTATGAATTTTTTCATACCCGTGTGCGATAATAATCTTCTTTAAAAAGGGGTGTTAGGTTACTGGTATTTAACTAAATACACTTAAGAATAGCTAATGTCAATGGTAACCTTATCACTAACCCCCCAACCCTAATTTCAAGTCGAGATTATAACACAACTAATAACCTAACACCAGTGGCGTAGCGAGGTCGGGTGTCACCCGGTGCGGCACTTACTGGTGTCACCCCCCAGAAGCGTAGCGACCCTTCCCGGAGACAAACTTTCAATTTTCGATTTACACCCCCCCCCCTCAAACTTTCGATTTGCACCTCTTAAAAGACTATTTAAAACTCGAATTAATCACTTAATTAAGTGGAATTATCATTTTTCTCTATATATTTTGCTATTTTTGGCCTTGGTGTCACCCCCTAAATGGTATCACCCGTTGCGGTCCGCACCCCCTCCCCCCTCGCTACGCCTCTGCCTATCAGCCTAACACACCTATTTTCGGGAGAGTCTATTATCGGACATAAATTTCATCAATCCTCCGATCAATTAAAATAAAAAATGTGTGTAGGTTTGATTATTGAATTGTGGGTGTTTGTAATATCTGGTTCAGTGTTAGGGTCAGAAACTTTGGTTACAGCTCAGGGAGGGCTTGGGTTAGGGCTAAAATCAACAGGTTATACTAGTATGTAGTTTATTACAAGTAACCCAACACCTCTGTTTTAGAAGATCCTTTTATTGTTACATCAACTGACATCAGTGGTCATTGGCACGACACATACCCCCGAATAACCGAATACCTTACTTAGGGTAATTGAGTAAAAACATAAAAACATACATGGAGACATGTTATGTAAAGTTCATATATGGGAGTAGGCAGGTCATTTCCCAGGTCAATTATCTCCCCTGTCAAGTCTCTCTTCTTCTTCCCACCCCTAACCCCGCCCCACACGTACATACGTGAAACCACTATAGGACATTACACCCCCCCCCTCATGGTCGATTACTAATACAGATTAGTTAGGAAATAAGGCTATGGTTAGGGATAGGATTACAGAAACGGAGCTGGACTGGTATTCGTATAATATGTAATCTCAGTGGGGGAGGGTACTTACCCGTGCCGGGGGTTAATTAATTTGGGAGAGGGAGGGGGTAATAACAGGGAGGTGCAATGTCCTGGACCCAGTAAATGTATAGAAGCTTATAGTATACTGGTATTCTATAAGTCACGCATTTTTTGCCTATATGTGCCTTATCTATTTACCTGCAACTTTAAATTAAGATCTCCGGCCGACGGAATGACACAACTAACAGAACTCTTAAGATCCCCATACTTCCAGCAGTCTTCCTTCAGATTAACAAATCGAATTTTAATTATAAACTCAGATTAGTTTGTCAACGCAGTGTCTTTGTAATGAGGCTTATCAGTAGGTATTTCGTTGTTCTATCAGTAGGTATTTCGTTGTTCTATCAGTAAGTATTTCGTTGTTCTACCTCACCGGTGCAATTATGGCCGCCGCATTGGAGCTGCGCTTAAAACCACAGCAGTGTTTTTCAACCTGTGTGATTCTGTTTGCACTCCCCCGCCCCCCACTCTCACGTGCCCTTTGCTACCGTGCATGCCTCGTGAGTAAAACAGACGATTATGACTGTATACATTTTAAATGCATCTACTGTCATATGTTAAGACTTGTGTAATTAAAGGCATGTTTTCAAAAACCAACACACAAGTATGCACTTTTTAAAAACTAATCTCAATTTTTTAAAAATTCAAAACTATTAACATATCAAGCTAAAACAATAATAACGTTTAAAAATGCATAGCAATTTTTACGGACGGCAGCGTATATTGTTAGTTGCCTGTTTTTAAATCACGAACAAAAACATTTTCGAACTAAGATTTGGTAAAAATATTCTACCAAAATATAAGGCTAATTTAAATAATTAGCATATGAACAGCTCACTTGCGTTTAATTAGAACATTAATTGATAGACAGTGTACATAACATGTTAACTAACCCTGTGGATTGAGTCATAGTATGTGTAATGTAACAAGATGTTCCCTGAACAGATGCAACAAATATAAAAAATATAATACCCATAATTCATTTCCCGATAGTTTGTTCGACTTCAAAGTCTGAGCGGTAGTCCAGTATAGACAATTCTACAATTGTTGCGGTCAGTTTCAGAAGCAAGTAGGATATGTGGAGTGCTATATGTTCCGTTGACACATGCAGATAAACTGATATAATGGCCACGGTATGCTCAGCAGCTTTCGGTTTCTAACGGAGCCAATTTCAGGAAATGAACTCACGACTTTAAGGCCACGTCTTACCTACCCTCCCGTTTTTATTTAAAAATACCTCTCATCTAAATCCTCTGGGGAACGACACTGGTAGTCATGGTTACCGAACCACGCCCGTATATCCGGCACCACCTTGGCGTACTTGTCCAAATTCCACGCCCGCCGGCACAGCTCGCAGACCGGCACCGCCTCGTACCGGAACTCCAGGAAGGTCGGCCTGAACCCCTGGAGGGGGTAGTCCTCAAACACGGCTGCGTACCTGTCCTTTTCCTCCAACATTTTCACGTACTCGTCGTCGTGAGCGTCAAGGTATGAAATCCTCTCCGCTAAATCCGCGGGGGATTTAAACCCTGCCGTGTTGATAAACACCCCAGGTGGGGCGACGCCAGTAAAAGACGCCCCAGCCCTGGCGATAAGTATCAAATCCTTGTCAAAATACCGAAAGAATTTTTCAGTTATATAATCTTTGCATAGATGATCTTCAAAACTGAGGTAGAATTTGTACTTTTTGCTGATGAAGTCAAGACAGTTACTGTGGTTATTTCTAGGGCAATGAAACAAACCACACGATCCGTATACATCCACAGGGATGTTGTCCCGTAGCTCACGGACGTACTCTTCAAGTTTCGAACCCGTGCTGCACCGGGTGATAATCGCCGCCACCAGGCCAGTCTTTGACGCCAGGATCTCGCTGTAGTTCCGGACCCGTGGTTCCTGGAGTTTCAGCACCCGCCCGTACGGTACCGGCACGTCGGAGTCGTGCCTGTAGGACATGGTCCAGTTGAAGACGTGCTGCCAGCGGCTGGTGTTGGTGAAGAGGTTGCCGTGGATCCAGAACTCGGATGGAACGGGTGGGTCGGTCTGGTAGTGGACCAAAACCTGGTGAGGTTTGAGTTCCGGTGGGTTCTCTTTCAGTACATAGCGTGCTGAAATGGTAATCATGGCGGCATTAGTACAGCTTTATAGTTGTAAGATATATAAGATATACAATATATATATATACATATATATATATATATATATATATATATATATATATATATATATATATATATATATATATATATATAAAGAATCTTCTTTAGACCTAGCGATCAACTGGACTGATGAAGTAGAGTTCATTTGTTTCTTGACCTCGGCATATGAATGGAAAGTGTGGTCAGCACTTTGCCCAGCCAACTTTACTTTCCCTAACATGTGTTAGGTACCTATCAGAGCTGGATGAACTCAATGACTTGGACCCGGATATGAATTCAAAACCTTCGGGTTGGCAGCATAGCGCTCTACCTCATAGACCATGCGGAATTGTGCCTTAAGTCAAAGAAACCCATGCAGATGAATGGATGAATAAACGCCGATATTAAGTATTGTTCTAGTTGCTATTATTGCAAAAACGCATTAGGTATGTTGTATTAGGTATGAATATTCCATGTGTTATTTGTGTGTGCGTGTTTGTATGTAAATATATGTGTATATGTGCTAGATTTCAGCAAAAAGTCTTCGTGTTATTTCATGTTATATTTCGGTTTGTGGAAATAAAAAAAAATAAAAAATTAAACACTAAATAAAGATGCTAAACTGTTTAAAAAGTGTTGTTCTATCCATACAATTACTTACAGTTCACTATAATGACACTGCTGTTGCCAGTAAACCGTCTGTCTGATGTCATCAAGCATGGAAAATCTGGACACACCCTTAATGGTGTCAGCTCATTATTCGGCAACACTCCAGATTTTTGCTCCCACCAAAGTATAATTTTTTTCTTCTTAATGTCCCTGGAGTCATCTGTCTCCTTCCCTTCAAAGAATGAATTTTTCACAAAGGGGAGATAAGACTCGAACCTGGACTTGTAGAATGGGTTGTCGGCCCTTTCTTTGAACGGGAACGGATGGTACTGAACTTGGTTCTGCACCGTGAAAACATTTTTACCTCCACTCGAAACCGCCTCTGAACTAAAATTTAATGGCAGTGAGCGATCGGGTGCGATTAAATATTGATGCAAATTTACTTGTCGTAATCGTGTTAGCTCAATTTCATGAATAGTCAATGAACTCGTGCTATTTTTAGACGATGGATTCACTTGTCTTAATCGAGTTAGCTCAATTTCTTCAACAGTCAATGAACTCGTTCTATTTTTAGACGACGGGAAGTTATAAATAACACCGGAAGTTGTCTTGTTTGGTAACCATCTCCTGTTTTCCAGGAGGATCTGTCCTTGCTCATTGCTCTGATAGAAAGACGAGCTAAGGACGAAGGGGGAGTCACCCCACCGTGGTCGGACGAGTATGGTGATGTGGACGAAGTTGAGGACACAGGCCAGGCAGACGATACAGGCCAGGACTACCCCCAGCGTCAGCCTTTTCATCTGGGGAAAACAAACACGCAAAGGTAGACAACGATGTGAAGGTCAGATGTAATCTCGTGCTGTAGAACTAGGTAAATAAAAAAAGGCTGGTACTGGTGAAAATACAGGTACTTGTGAAGTATCATATTTTAATACATTAACTATATTTACAGTTACTAGCGAAGTATCAATTTTAATACATCTATATATATAAAGCAAAGTGGTCAAGTGCCCGATAGGGCACTTCCCGGCGCCGCAGGCGCGTCAAATTTGGCACGATGGTGCCTTGGGGCGATACAACACGAGGGCCGGTGACGGTTGGCCGAAAAGTCGACGGAGAGGGGGGTCAAAACTGACCTCGACTGACCGGCGCCCTATATGGGCTATATTACGAAAAAAATTTCCTCCGACGACCCCACATGAAATTTTGTGAGGTGATAGGAGAACGCCTCGGGGTGTCACAAAAAACTCGCCATGTCCGGGAAAATTCGTTAAATGGGTCAAAACTGACCAGTCGTATTTCCCTATATAATCTTTGTATTTTATGGGAAAAACAGAGGGTCATTTCAAAACGGATTTGATGGCACTTACAGTCTTTACATCTGGCTAATTTTTTGCATGCTCTTAGGTAAATGGCTTGACCTTTAGGTAAAACTGTTGGTTTCACTCAAAGCCCTCGACGAGGGCTAAAAAGTGACCGCGAGTGAAATTCTCTTTATATGAGCTCTATTACGAAAAACAAATTCCTCCGACGACCCCCCTTGAAATTTTGTGAGGTGGTAGGAGAACGCCTTGGGGTGTCACAAAAAACTCGCCATGTCCGGGAAAATTCGTTAAATGGGTCAAAACTGACCAGTCGTATTTCCCTATATAATCTTTGTATTTTAAGGGAAAAACAGAGGGTCATTTCAAAACGGATTTGATGGCACTTACCGTCTTTACATCTGGCTAATTTTTTGCATGCTCTTAGGTAAATGGCTTGACCTTTAGGAAAAACTGTCGGTTTCACTCAAAGCCCCCGACGAGGGCTAAAAAGTGAGCGCGAGTGAAATTCTCTTTATATGAGCTCTATTACGAAAAAAAATTTCCTCCGACGACCCCCCTTGAAATTTTGTGAGGTGGTAGGAGAACGCCTTGGGATGTCATAAAAAACTCGCCATGTCCGGGAAAATTCGTTAAATGGGTCAAAACTGACCAGTCGTATTTCCCTATATAATCTTTGTATTTTATGGGAAAAACAGAGGGTCATTTCAAAACGGATTTGAGGGCACTTACCGTCTTTACATCTGGCTAATTTTTTGCATGCTCTTAGGTAAAGGGCTTGACCTTTAGGGAAAACTGTTGGTTTCACTCAAAGCCCTCGACGAGGGCTCAAAAGTGACCGCGAGTGAAATTCTCTTTATATGAGCTCTATTACGAAAAATAATTTCCTCCGACGACCCCCCTTGAAATTTTGTGAGGTGGTAGGAGAACGCCTTGGGGTGTCACAAAAAACTCGCCATGTCCGGGAAAATTCGTTAAATGGGTCAAAACTGACCAGTCGTATTTCCCTATATAATCTTTGTATTTTATGGGAAAAACAGAGGGTCATTTCAAAACGGATTTGAGGGCACTTACCGTCTTTACATCTGGCTAATTTTTTGCATGCTCTTAGGTAAAGGGCTTGACCTTTAGGGAAAACTGTTGGTTTCACTCAAAGCCCTCGACGAGGGCTCAAAAGTGACCGCGAGTGAAATTCTCTTTATATGAGCTCTATTACGAAAAATAATTTCCTCCGACGACCCCCCTTGAAATTTTGTGAGGTGGTAGGAGAACGCCTTGGGGTGTCACAAAAAACTCGCCATGTCCGGGAAAATTCGTTAAATGGGTCAAAACTGACCAGTCGTATTTCCCTATATAATCTTTGTATTTTATGGGAAAAACAGAGGGTCATTTCAAAACGGATTTGAGGGCACTTACCGTCTTTACATCTGGCTAATTTTTTGCATGCTCTTAGGTAAATGGCTTGACCTTTAGGAAAAACTGTCGGTTTCACTCAAAGCCCTCGACGAGGGCTAAAAAGTGACCGCGAGTGAAATTCTCTTTATATGAGCTCTATTACGAAAAACAAATTCCTCCGACGACCCCCCTTGAAATTTTGTGAGGTGGTAGGAGAACGCCTTGGGGTGTCACAAAAAACTCGCCATGTCCGGGAAAATTCGTTAAATGGGTCAAAACTGACCAGTCGTATTTCCCTATATAATCTTTGTATTTTAAGGGAAAAACAGAGGGTCATTTCAAAACGGATTTGATGGCACTTACCGTCTTTACATCTGGCTAATTTTTTGCATGCTCTTAGGTAAATGGCTTGACCTTTAGGAAAAACTGTCGGTTTCACTCAAAGCCCCCGACGAGGGCTAAAAAGTGACCGCGAGTGAAATTCTCTTTATATGAGCTCTATTACGAAAAAAAATTTCCTCCGACGACCCCCCTTGAAATTTTGTGAGGTGGTAGGAGAACGCCTTGGGGTGTCATAAAAAACTCGCCATGTCCGGGAAAATTCGTTAAATGGGTCAAAACTGACCAGTCGTATTTCCCTATATAATCTTTGTATTTTATGGGAAAAACAGAGGGTCATTTCAAAACGGATTTGAGGGCACTTACCGTCTTTACATCTGGCTAATTTTTTGCATGCTCTTAGGTAAAGGGCTTGACCTTTAGGGAAAACTGTTGGTTTCACTCAAAGCCCTCGACGAGGGCTCAAAAGTGACTGCGAGTGAAATTCTCTTTATATGAGCTCTATTACGAAAAATAATTTCCTCCGACGACCCCCCTTGAAATTTTGTGAGGTGGTAGGAGAACGCCTTGGGGTGTCACAAAAAACTCGCCATGTCCGGGAAAATTCGTTAAATGGGTCAAAACTGACCAGTCGTATTTCCCTATATAATCTTTGTATTTTATGGGAAAAACAGAGGGTCATTTCAAAACGGATTTGAGGGCTTTTACAGTCTTTACATCTGGCTAATTTTTTGCATGCTCTTAGGTATAGGGCTTGACCTTTAGGGAAAACTGTCGGTTTCACTCAAAGCCCTCGACGAGTGCTAAAAAGTGACCGCGAGTTAAATTCTCATTATACGAGATTTGGTCATTTGGTCTATGAACAGGGGAAGTAACTTTTTAATGTAATAATTTTTAAATATTTTGTATTCTCTTTTCAAGAAAAAAACAAAAATCATAGAGTATAGCATTGTTTTAAATAAATATTTTGTTATAAATTAAGTTTTGCATTGTACTGATATTGTAAAAATTAATTGTAAAAGTAATTTATTATAATATTTGATTGATACTATTCAGAAACCCCTTGCAGTTCTAATAACCGTACGAGTAATAAGTTTGCGAATATTCCTTCAAAATTTTAGTAGCATCAAATTACTCCTCTGTATAAATTTAGTCCCTATGAATTTAAGATAGCAGCCAATCACCTATTAATTAATTATTCAATTCCTCAATTATTTTGAAAACCTAAGCGAAGCTAGGCAGTATGCCTAGTTAGCTATATTTACAAGTACTCGTGAAGTATCAATTTGAACACACGAACTATTTATATAGTTAGATCTACTTATGAACTATCAATTTTAACACATTATCTACATTTACAGGTACTTGTGAAGTATCAATTTTAACACGAACTAATTATATAGTTAGATCTACTTGTGAACTATTAATTTCAACACTAACTTTGTTTACATGTATTTGTGAACTATCAGTTTTAACACACTAGCTGTAGAGACACTTGTGAATTATCAACTATAACTTACTTTTTGTATACAGAAACATGTGAATGATCAGTATTAATACACTGATATAACAATACTGTACTATGAAACATAAAGTATCGTTTCTGATCTAACATTCACGTGTTTCTTTCATATCACCAATATTAGAGCATTATGTAGCACCTTGCAGGGATTGTGTAGTTAGCACCCTATGAAGGGATTGAGTAGTTAGCACCCTATGAAGGGATTGAGTAGTTAGCACCCTATGAAAAGATTGTGCGGTTAGCACACTATGAAGGGATAGTGTGGTTTGCACACTGAAAAGATTATGTGCAACATTAAGGTGTAGTATGGACAGCACCAAGATTTGGGCACTAATTAGTGCTGAGTTGACTCCAATCCCTTTACCAAAACTAAAAAAGCATTTCAAACTGTACACGAATGCTAGAGCTACTCCCGTCAATACAAATTTGGTTTATACAACCTGAATATTAGCAAGTAGTTCACCCTGTTCTCCAAGTTAAATATTATTAACTCCGTTGTTGAAGACGAGGCTGAACAAATTAGCACGTTCCGCTTGGTTGAACAGGAGCCCCTTGTTAATTTCAGCCATTCAATTACAAGTTTATACTAATTAAAAGCCTGTTGCAGTCTAGACATAGGGAAGTATTGTGTGAGAATTTTAGACACTAGAGACACGTCTAAAGCATTAAATAGAAATATAAGATTTTTATTCAAATAATTACCTTCAGCCCTTGGCTAAGATCGATAAAACAAATCTATTCGATTCTTTGTACAACCTGAAGATAATAAAACAATCCATAAAGATATAAGTTTGCCTAAAACCTGATCTACTGATATAAAGTAATTGAAGACATTGGACAGTGGTAATATATTTGGAATAGAATACAGTAATGGACACATGGGACGGCATGGTCAAGCGTGTTAGCGTATGAATGTTATCTCCAAAAGTACCGGGTTCGAATTCCAGGGTAGATGAGGCTCAGCTAGGGATAAAAATCTCTCAAAATGAGGTTATGATAACTCCAAAATCAAACAACTGCTGCCTTATAGTTTGTTTTGGGTGGGCAAAGTCTATAGAAGGAAAGCTGAGCCCCATATGTGAAGTCCTACTGTTAATTTCTCTGTCTATAAAGTTAACAATACTTCAATCATTAAAGTCAACATTATAAAACTCTTGTCTAGAAAGTCAACTATATTTGATAAGTCCTGACAACAAGTCCTGTCAAAAGAAAAAAAAAACTA